CCCGCTAACGACGGGGGGAGGTCAATTAGTACCGACCCCCGCCTTCCCAAGGCCGTTTTGGCCGGAAAAAGCCCCGTTTTGGGGGCGTTTGATGTGCAGCTCCCCTGGGAGGTGCCAATGACTGGGGGAGGGGGATCAAACGGTCGCCGCGGAAACGAGGCCACCAAATTGTCCCCGGGGAGGGGACAGGGGACGGGGGGGAATGACCCTTTTTTCCCCTTTTTCTCCCCATTTTTTCTCTGTCCCATCCACAGATTCCAGATGAGTTCGACAATGGTGAGTCCCAAAGCAGGGGACAGCGTTTTGTGCCCCCCCATGCCAAAAAAGTGGCTTTTGGGGCTTAAAAACGGGAGAGCGGCGGCAGTTTGGGGGGAAAAAAAGGTCTTTTGCGGTGTGAATGGGAGGAGGGGAGGGGAGGTGACATCTTGGTGGCACCGGGCGGGGGATGGGACCTGCCACATGGGTGTCGTCCCCCTCCCCTCCGCCCAGACCCGGTGCTGATCCAGCAGCTGCGCAGAACCTACAAGTACTTCAAGGACTATCGGCAGGTAGGGGACAGCGGCGTCACCTCCCCGGGGTTGTCACCTCCCCGGGGTTGTCACCTCCTTGGGCCTTTGTCACCTCCTTGGGCCTTTGTCACCTCCCTGGGGCTTTGTCCCCAGGCGGTGGCTGGTCCCCCTCCCTTGCGATTTGTGCCCAAATTGGGGCTGTTTGTCGTCCCCCCCCCCCGTGGGGCTGTGTCACCAACACAGGGGCCATGTCCCCGACGTGGGGACCCTGTCACCAACATGGGGTCAGCGTCACCGCGCTGCCATCTGTCCCCACCACCGGCCTCCGTCTCCCAGGGGACCCTGCGCCCCCAGCCCCGACATTCTGGGGGGACTGTGGGGGAGGTGTCACCTTGTCCCCTGTCCCCACGGCAGATGATTGTGTCCAGGGCGGGGTGTCACCTTGTCCCCTGTCCCCACGGCAGATGATCATCGAGCCCACGAGCGCCCGGCTGCTGCCCGACCCGCTGCGCGAGCCCTACTACCAGCCGCCCTACACGCTGGTCATCGAGCTCACGGGCGTCCTGCTGCACCCCGAGTGGTCGGTGAGCGTCACCGCCGTGTCCCCAAGGCTGGCAGGGGTGACACACATGCCGCGTGATGTCCCCTCCTTGCTCTTGTCCCCAGCTGGTCACTGGTTGGCGCTTCAAGAAGCGTCCGGGCATCGAGAGCCTCTTCCAGCAGCTGGCACCGCTCTACGAGATCGTGGTGTTCACCTCCGAGACCGGCATGGTGGGCAGGGGACACCGGGGGACACTGGGGATACTGGGGGACACCGCAGGGACACCCCGGGGACACATTGGGGTTACATTGGGGATGCATTGGGGACATCACAGGGACA